ACACCAAAGAAGTTCTTCCCCACATCTCAGCTCCATCTCCCCTCTTTCAGTGTCAAACCCTTCCCCCTCCTCCTAGGGCTCCCCTCCCTCATAAATCCTGTACAGGCAGACACACAAGGCACAAATCCTTCTTGCTGCCCCTTCATCTCCCACCACCGGTGATCCTTCACGCTGCCATCTAATTCCTGCACCTGGGAAAGCCCCCGCCAGCCCAGAGAGATGCCAGCTGGATTTGGGTGCTCTTTCCTATGGGAAAATGAATCCAAAATGCAGAGGGAAAAGCGCTGGAGAAACACAATAAAGGGAAGGAACAGCAGGAGTTGGCCAAAGTTGGCCCAGACCAACCAACCCTCTGGAAATCTCAGTTGGATGCATTAAAGCAGCACCTCGTTCCTCCAGAGCCGCAGGGATTCGCTCTCACAGACACCAAACACCCCGTTCCCAGCAGGGCTGATGCCACAGGAGCCTCTTCCATGATGACACTGGGGACAAGAGCCACGACACAGGCTCTGAAGAGGGGTCTGCAGGAGGAGGGTTCCTCACACCCGCTCGGGAGGGAGATCCTCACAGCAGGAACCACCCAAACCCCATCACCGCACACTCCCACCCCAGAAATTGTTGGGAAAACCCCCTGGGAAAGGCATGGGAGCCCACGGTGATCAGTGCCACCACGGCTGCTTCCTGGCAAAGGACCAAACCCAAGTGACAGAGGGGACATGGCATCAGCCAAGCACTTGGTGGCCACCCTCAGCGATGACACGGCCAAGGCTCTGCTTGTCCCTCAGGCAACACAGATCAGCTCACGTTAGAGGACAGGAGAGATGCCAACAACCTCACCCCGCGAGGTCTGCCGTGTCCAAAGATTAATTTCTTGGGCAGGAGCGACTGCACGACGTTAAATGTAATTACATGCACCAGGTCCTCTTAAGCAAACTAATTCACACCAACTTCCAAGAGCTCTTCGAAGAGTTCCCAGCAGATAAAGCACATCACTGAATCATTTCATGTCAGAATTTGACACATTTGAGTTAATTTAATCACTTCATTTCAGAGGGCTGAGCTGTGTTGGGATCTCTGATCCTTGGCAGGGTCCAGCTCCTGATCTGCACAGCATCAGGTGCAGCCAAGCTCCGGAGGAAGGAAAAAAAATAATTCAACTCATTACCTGCTTATTAAAAACCCAGGAATTTTTATCAGGAGCTATGAGGGACCCAGGCAGTCGTCCTGCACCTGGCACAGATGACAATCCTGAGGCAATGGGGGTCATGCCAACCCTCCTCCAAGCAGCCCGGGGTGGTGTCACCACAGAGTTCCACCACCAGCTCTGCCTCCTGCCCAAGGATGCTTTGCCATCATCTCCCCTCCATGCAGCCCTGCAGCTCAATCCACTGCTTATTCCCACATTATAGCCCACCTCATCTTCCCTGTTCACTTCTCTCCTGCCTGTTATTTTTGGATTTTTTTTAATTAGAGCTGAATTAAAGGATGGAAACCCACGGAGCAGGAACTGAGGCTGGCCCAGTCTCCAGGAGCAGGTGTCAGTACGAACCACACCATTGCCATCCCAGAGAGAAGAACAGAAAGGTGATCATCACCACTTGCTTTTTCTTTTTACCAGGACATCTCCTTATAGCACTTTCAAGATGCCAAACTGAAGACAAACAGGATGAGCTGCTCAGTTCCCGTTCTCCATTAATTCCCCTCTTCTCCTGCTCACACCCACCTGCTCCTCTCTCATTCACAACCAACGTGGTGGCTTCGGCTGGAGAAGTTCTCTTCACAAATTAATTCAATTTGTTTGAAAATAAAACACAAAAAAATAGTACTCAATGAGTAACTGCATTAATGCCCAGAGGTTTGACTGGAGGTGGATGTGGCACAAGGAGCGGTGCCCCTAACGACAGCCGAGTGCCACCCTTTGCACAGGAACAACCCTGCTCCAAACCCAACAGCATCTTTCTCCCAGCAGCATCTTTCCCAAATTATCCCTTTTCTCGTGCAGACGAGGGGCAGGGGATAGTTTGGAGAAATTATAAAGCAACAACTTACCAACTCCAGGGGTGCAGAGTCCAGCTGCAGCCTCTGCAATGGGCTGAGAGAGACCCCCCCCAGAAGGGAAGGGGGCTCTGGGGGTGCCTTCACCCTCCCTCACCCACCCCATGCCATGGGGTGTGCTACCCAGGGACCCTCCTTGGCCCTACTGGCATCTTGGGGGGCTCCAAAGTGCTTCGGGGGGCTCTGGTGCTGTGGGCACCATCCTTTCCATCTCTGTGGAGGCTTTTATGGACCTGGAAAGGGAGGCAGGATCTGGTCTCCTCCCAACCACATACCAACCTTGGGTTGTCCCCAAGCTCAAAGGGACACTTGCCAGGTGGATGCATCCCATCCCAGGACCCATTTCCCTCCCTTGCAGGGACATGAGGGCCCGGGGAGGATCCTCCCCTTGTAGCTGAAGAGTTTTTAGCTCAACACCCCAAATTACAAACTGGGGTGACCCCGATAACACACCACCCCCTCCCCAATCTACTGGTGTTAAAGGAATAATTACAGGTGGCACCAGATACCACCCTCAACGCCAGATGCTTTCCCAGTGCAAACCAGCTCCTCACAAGCCAGTTCCTCCAGAGTTTCCCAATAGCATTGACTTTACACACGCTCTGGAATAAAACCACATCTGGAGGGACACATCTGGGGTTCCCAGCCTTTCCCCCCCCCCCCAACAGCCACAGCTGGCACAAGGGAAAGGCACCGATGCCCCCCGGGCAGAGCGAATGCCCACATGGGGGAAAAGAGGCTTCTCTCACCGTCTGCAAAATAAAATGAACAAATAATTGATTCCTGAGGAAAATAAATAAAGTGCTCCTTTCTTCTCAGCAGCTCAGCCCTCGGACTGGCAAAAAAAAAAATAAAAAAAAAAAAAAAAAAAAATCGATGCCTCCTCCCCCCGCAGGATAAACGATTGGATTTTTGCCTGTTTGCTTGGAAAAACCAAAGCATCAGGCTGCTTTTGGAGCATGATCCATCACCCCCCGCCCGCCCACGGAGACCGGTGGGTTTCAGAGTGTGATATCCTGACAATACCACACGCACAAACTACCCCTTTGATCCACAGAGACAAATCCCAGCAGAAAAGCAGTATTTTTGGCAAACAAAGCGGATTTCAAACGGATTGCGGGATGGGAAAGGGACGCCCCCGAACCCCCCAGTGATGGTGGCACAGAGGGGATGGGTCCCCACAGCACCCACAGGCACATTCCCACCCCAAGAGCTGGTCCACAACCAAGGGATGCTCGTTAGCATCCAGGAAGGAGAGCAGGAGATGTCACCACTCCCACCCCCTGCACTGCCCAAGGGGGAGAAAACTGATTTGAACTGAGCCCCCTCAGAAGAGCAGGAGACGCCTTCCCACATTAATGAAAGGATCCCAGTCCTTTTCTTCCGCATGACAGCACTATCCAGCTTACTATTAAATTTTTAATTTTCCTATTTTAGGTAGTCCTCAGGGTAAAACCAGAAAAGCAAGAAAGCAGGGCTCAACCCGCAGCGTCACGTTGTGAAACGGAGGATTCATCAGCAGTCTCAGCTGCAAGATGAGACTCTTCAACTGGGGGTCTGGGCTTTTTTTTCCCTTCAATAAATTCTGATTTATGGATCTGGGATGAACATCTCGGAAATGAAAACTCCTGTCTCGAGCAGAGAGTTTAAGCAGAAAGAGGCTGCGTGGCTGCAGCCTTTGGCTCCAGCTCGATGGGGGTCAGGATGGTCCATCTCACACCAGGATCAATTCCCTCGCGCTCACCCCAAGCCCCGCACCAAGGACGTGCCAATTTTCCAGGGGTTTGACCACATCTGTCCCCACGGAGGGTTATCACCATGCAGAGCACACAGCTGTGCCCATCATCATCCTCATCACCTGCTCAGCTGGTGGGGATGGGGCAGAGGGGACACTCCGTGGGTCCCCAACATTTAGAGGAGCCACAGGAGACCTGGAACTGGGGGATGGCAGCAAATACCCCTCAAAAATCAATATTTTTTTTTTTACAAAAAAAAAAAAAAAAAGGGATCTGAACCAGCACCGGTGTTTATGAGGGAAGGAGCTGGGTTGTATTTTTCCTCCTTTGAATCCAAAGCAAATCGATCTGTCTCTGCCCGGGGTGGGAAGCTGAGGATGACTCAGCCGGCAGAACGGCGCTAAGCTCTCTGTGTCCTCCACCACGCAGGAATTCAGCTGGGAAGCACACACACACAGAAAAAAAAAAAAAGCCATTTCTTCAATTTTCCTCTAGTATTTCAATAAAAGATTATTTTAAACAGGCTTTTTATGGAAAAACCCTCGGCGCTAAGCCTCCCAGACAACTCCTGTTTCCAATGGAGAGTATTCCTGATCCCTACACGAGTGATGCCCCGATGCCTACGACACGCCGTGGTGGGGCTCGGGCAGGTCCTGCTCTGCCCAAAGCCCAACCCCAGAACCAAACTTTTTTTTTTTTAAAAAAAAAAAAAAAAAAGGGATCTGAACCAGCACCGGTGTTTATGAGGGAAGGAGCTGGGTTGTATTTTTCCTCCTTTGAATCCAAAGCAAATCGATCTGTCTCTGCCCGGGGTGGGAAGCTGAGGATGACTCAGCCGGCAGAACGGCGCTAAGCTCTCCGTGTCCTCCACCACGCAGGAATTCAGCTGGGAAGCACACACACACAGAAAAAAAAAAAAAGCCATTTCTTCAATTTTCCTCTAGTATTTCAATAAAAGATTATTTTAAACAGGCTTTTTATGGAAAAACCCTCGGCGCTAAGCCTCCCAGACAACTCCTGTTTCCAATGGAGAGTATTCCTGATCCCTACACGAGTGATGCCCCGATGCCTACGACACGCCGTGGTGGGGCTCGGGCAGGTCCTGCTCTGCCCAAAGCCCAACCCCAGAACCAAACCAGCAAAAAAACCTGAGGCAGTGTGGAAAATGATGGATGTTTTGCTGGGCTCTCGCACCCAGCAGCGACGCACCTTCCCGGCCAGGCTCCTCTGGAGGTAAGGAAATGTTAAGAGATAAGTGTGTTGGCCACCTTGCCACATTCCAGGAGAGCTGCCTGCAAAAGGATGCACAACTTCATAAAAAAAACACCAAAAAACAACCCTTGTTATTCCACAAATTGCATCATCCTGGGATGGGACACAAGGGGACAGTCCCCATTTGCACACTGGGGAGAGAGAATCCCAGGCAGAAAGAGCCTAACAAATATTTCACTGATTATTTTCACTGATTATTTTTTAAATCTCAGCGTGGCTCGAGGATGCTCTGAACTCCCCCCCCCAGGCTTGCTTGCAGGGAAAGCCCCACGCCGCAGCCCGAGCCCCTTCTACAAAGAGGAGAACCGCCCCTTGGCAGCAAAATAAATAAATAAGTGAGCACCATTTTAATTACACGTAATTGGGAATTCAGTGCTATTTCATACTGACTTTAAGGCGGTTCGCACCATCTGCTGCCACAGATACATCCCAGGGCTTTGAAGAGAATCAAGCTCTGCTTCCTCTCTCCAGATGCCCCCGAGGCCGGAGCGATGGGGGAGCATCGCCCGCCCCTCTCGCACCCGGGAGGGCAAAAACGGGGCCCGGGGCAACTATTTTGCTCTTACATTGAGCCACACAGATGGCAATGAATATGCTCGAGCTCCCAGACTTGCAGATAACACCGTTTAAAAAAAAAAATAAAATAGAGAGACTTCATTTGAGCTTACACCAAATACAGATGAGAAACCACCGACTCTTTAAAAAGAAAAAAAAACTAAAGACCTTTTTCTGCGGAGCTCCCAAGAAGCTGAGTGTTAAATCCTGCTGTTGTCTCCATCCCTGCAGATGCTGTGATGCCTTCACAGCCAGCAGCGGGTCCTGCCGGGCTGCCATCGGTCCCCCCCCCACCCCCAGCCCAGGCCCCGGTGATGGGGATGCTGGGGGGAGCGTGTTCTGGACCCCCCCTCCCTTGCAGGCAGCTGCCAGGCTTGGCTCCGGGTGCTGGAGCTGTTCCAGTCCCACCAACCCTCCCCATTTCCACAGCCTACTGGAAAAAAAAATAAGAGAGAAAAAGCCCAATTTGAGATTTTCCTGCTCATTCCCCAGCCGAACTTCCACAGCCTACTTCCCCGCTTCCACAGCCTACTGGAAAAAATAAGAGAGAAAAAGCCCAATTTGAGATTTTCCTGCTCATTCTGCATCCAAACCCGGATGAGGTGACTCCAGGAGCAGCTTCTGATGGGGATGCTGAGCCTGGAGGACACACAGCTTCTCCACATCCTGCCTGAGCTGGGAATGGCCAATTTCTCTGCCAAGCAGCCAAGGGAGATAAACAACCCCCCACCAACCCCCCAAGCTGGGCTGAGTGGTGTTTGCCCCCCATATTGGCATGAAATAAAGCCCTCCTTTACAATGACCCATGGAGAGGGACGCTGCGTGACAGACGGGCTGTCCAAGCAGCTAATCCATCACACGGGCTCAGCTTGAAACCAAAACTCATTCCAGCCCAGCGGTGCCTACGTGAAAAGCAGAAAAACGCTCTAAATTGGGGTTATTTACCCAGCACCTCTCCTGGCTGGGATTGCTGACCTGTCCCAGCCTGGGTGAGGGTCTCCCGTCCCACCCTGCATCCCCCTCCCCGGGTCCCCTGGGCATCACTCAAGGGCTTTGGGTGCTTCAAAGCTCTTCTTCCTTTCAAGGAACCAGGCAGATGAAGCCGGGGTGGGGGGGTGGGATGCTCTGCTGGTCGGATTCCTTCCTTGGGAAGGGCACCAGCAGGAGCTCCCTCTCTTTAAATGTTGCAAAGTTCAAATTAGAGCCAGTGCAGAAGAGCAGGCGCTGACAAAGCTTCAATCACAGCTTCTGTCTTATTTGGCAGCAGGAACCCAGCATGAGCCCTCGTTACCTCTGCCCCTCACAGAGCTTTTTCCTTCAAATATGTAAAAATTGCCCTGTAACCATGTGGCATCTCCTGCTCCAGCCTTGGATGCTGCCTCTCCAGCTGGTCTGGCCAGGGGTGGCCCCCAGAACTGTTCCTCAAGGGGTGGCTTGAAGCCATGGTCACCCCCAGTGCTGGGAGCGATGGACCAGTTCCTGGTGGCCCTGGGTCACAGGGGGTGGCACAGAGCCAGGATTGGGGCAATGCAGCCTGGATGGGTCGAGGAAGATGCCACCAACCCCTGCACATCACCAATCCCACCAGGCAGCATCGCCTTTCCAGGAGGTGGGGAAAAGCCAGCTGCTGAAAAGGGATTTTTATGGTAGAAATCACGATTTGGAAAGGTCCCAATATCTAATTTCTGCACCAGACACCCTCCGTGGCTGGACACCACCACAGCAGCATCTCCCTCCCACCCAGCCATCCCCTCAGGAGCCCGGTGGGATGTGCATCCCCTGAAAAAAACAAAAAACCATGGAAAATATGGATACTGCTGAAGTCACCCCCATGGCACCAGCAGGTGGGAGGTGACAGGTCCCTGTTGTGCACAACAGGGCCACCAGCAGAGGCTTCTTCAAAATACTGTCCAAAATATTACCCATTATTTCAGACCACCAAGGAGCAGCACCCACCCAGCACCCACCAGCCCCGCGCTGGTTTAAAGAGCAATTATAATATAAACCCACCAGCCCCACTGATTTAATGAGCAATTACAGCCTAAACGTGGCTTTTATCCACACAATCAATACTTGTATCTGGGAAAGCTTCCTGGCGGGGGGGGGGGGGGAAATAAAACATTGATTTTTAGCGAAAAGGCATATTCCATCATCCTGTGCCATATACCACGTGGGAGAGGATAAAAGAGGGGGCTGGACATGAATGACTGTCTCAGGACACGGTGAATGAAATGAAAATGTGTTGAAATCAGATGGGAAAGAAATCAGCAGCACAAATCACAGCAGAACCAGCGATTGGGGAAAAAGAACCCGCCGCCTTCAGAAAGACAAAAAAGGTTCCTGACCCTCCAGCACATCGTGGGAGGGCGATATAAACTGGAGCCAAACTGGTGGGCAAGAGCAGAATCCACAGGGCACAGACTCCTCTGGAGCGAGAGACCTCGCCCCAAGAGCTCCCATTCACAGCCCCAAATCAGAAACAAAATCAAAGTCTTAATTAATCCGCCTTTTTGAGGGGCACAGGCTCAGCTCCACGAAGGCATTCGAGCACCCCAGTGCCCCACCAGTCCCAGCTGGGACACTGGGTGGGGACCAGCCCAGCAGTTTCTCAGCATCTCGGGAAGCATCTTGAAATCAGATGGGAAAGAAATCAGCAGCACAAATCACAGCAGAACCAGCGATTGGGGAAAAAGAACCCGCCGCCTTCAGAAAGAAAAAAAAGGTTCCTGACCCTCCAGCACATCGTGGGAGGGCGATATAAACTGGAGCCAAACTGGTGGGCAAGAGCAGAATCCACAGGGCACAGACTCCTCTGGAGCGAGAGACCTCGCCCCAAGAGCTCCCATTCACAGCCCCAAATCAGAAACAAAATCAAAGTCTTAATTAATCCGCCTTTTTGAGGGGCACAGGCTCAGCTCCACGAAGATATTCGAGCACCCCAACAGCCACCAGTCCCAGCTGGGACACTGTGGAGGGGCCAGCCCAGCAGTTCCTCAGCATCTTGGGAAGCATCTCAGCAGCTCAGGAAGCATTTGTGCAGCTTTGCAAAGACAGAAAAGCTCTGCACAAGCACTTCAGGATGCTTTTAGACAATAAAAATGCAGTTTGTGGTGCTCCCCTGTGCCCCTCTTTGCCCCCAGAGAAGAGCTGGGGTTTTGCCAAGGAGGTTATCGCTCCCCGTCAGCTCCAGATAGCAATTAAAAAAAAATCCCAAAGCAGCACAGGCTGGGAAGCATCTCTCAGCAGCTCAGGAAGCATTTGTGCAGCTTTGCAAAGACAGAAAAGCCCTGCACAAGCACTTCAGAAGCTTTTAGACAATAAAAATGCAGTTTGTGGTGCTCCCCTGTGCCCCTCTTTGCCCCCAGAGAAGAGCTGGGGTTTTGCCAAGGAGGTTATCGCTCCCCGTCAGCTCCAAGTAGCAATTAAAAAAAAAATCCCAAAGCAGCACAGGCTTTGACCTAACCAGATCCCTTGATGGCCCCGTTGCAGAGAAGAGAACGAGTCACATGAAAGCATGGCCAGAACCACACAGCAAAATCACCGTACCTATATATATGGATATATACACACATACCTATAAAAACAAGTCCAGGTGGGTTTGAATGTCTCCAGAGAAGGAGACCCCACCACCTCTCTGGGCAGCCTCTGCCAGGGCTCTGCCACCCTCACAGGAAAGAAGGTCCTCCTCGCGTTTAGGTGGAACTTCTTACATTCAGCTTTGTGCCTATTTCCTCTTGTCCTGTCCCTGGGCACCACTGAGAAAAGACCAGCCCCGTCCTCCTGACACCCTCCCTTTAAGTATTCTTAAGTATTGATTAGATCCTGCCTCAGCCTTCTCTTCTCCAGACTAAAGAGACCCAAGTCCCTCAGCCTCTCCTCATCAGAGAGATGCTCCAGGCCCCTCATCATCTCTGTTCCCTCTGCTGTCCCCTCTCCAGCAGTTCCCTGTCCTTCTTGAACTGGGGAGCCCAGAACTGGTCCCAGTGCTCCAGCTGGGGCCTCCCCAGGGCAGAGCAGAGGGGCAGGATGACCTCCCTCCACCTCCTGGTCACACTCTTCCTGATGTCCCCCATGATGCCATCGGCCACCTTCCTGATGCCCCCCAGGATGCCATCGGCCACCTTGGCCACAGGGGCACGTTGCTGGCTCATGGGCATCCTCTTGTCCACCAGGACTCCCAGGTCCTTCTCCTCAGATAACATGTTCAAGCCGCCCTGCAGAGACGCACTGGGGCTGGGGACACTCCAGTGTCCCCCCCTCACTCTGTGGGGATCACCCCAATCCCTGGCCCATCCGTTACCAGCCCCGTCACAGGCACCTTTACACGCTTGAAGCCATGGTCAATCCCCAACGTCACAGCTGAACGACACCTTTTTACACACTTCATCACCCTTAAAAACATTTGTTTAGTTTGAATAGTGGGGAATAGCCCTTTTTTTTTTTTTTTTTACCCTTAAAAACATTTGTTTAGTTTGAATAGGGGGGAGTAACCTTTTTTTTTTTTTTTTTTTCCCTTAAAAAGCAATTTATTCCCTTTCCTGCGAAGTGAGGATGATGATGATGATGGCCTCCCTACGCTTCACGGTCCATGCCCTGGCAGCGCTCCCCGGCTGACATGGCTGCGTAACGCAGAGTGACTGCCAGAGCTCCTGATCCTCCTTCCCCTCCTCCAAAGCATCCTTAGGGCAACTCAAAATTATTCCCATCCCTGTTCAACTAAAGAACCATCGCTAGAAAAATAAATTAATTACTGCGCTTATTGAATGAAGCCCAAACAACATCCACTCCAGAGGCAGCGAGACCGATTGTTAGTTCGGTTTAATAAACCCTGAAATTTAAGGTTTTGCTGAACGCGGCTGCAGAGGAGCCGTGTGTCTCCCAAGCTTCGTTTGTGCTAATTCCCTCCCAGTCTGGAACTGGGCTGAGCTGGGATCTCAGCTCCTCCAGACCCCCAGGACAACCGCTCTGGGTTTGATGGAACACACATCTTGGGAGGTGTTCCTCAGGGGACGTTTTAATGCCTTATTACCTAAGTCAGGAGAGTTATTACTAGAGGACTAATTACAGCACCAGCCCCTGTCCCCTGCGGCATCGCTGCCACCAAGCCCCCGCGCCAGAGCCACCGAGCTGCCCCCAGGATTTCCCTGTGAATTGGTAAAGCTGACTGAAGAGTCACACTGCTAAAAAACTTATCTTTTCC